ATACCATTTCAACAATACCTTATTCTGCTTGCCATATACGAAAGTATATGCCCGCACGGATATAGCTCAGTTGGTCGAATAACGGGAAAATTGTAGAAATGACAAAGGATTAAAATTCACAGCGTCTGTATCAAGGTTACAACTCTTATGTGATGGGCTTGACCTCTAGTCGCACAAGCATAGGATTTATCACCGTTAGACTGATTGAATCACCGTGATTTACATCCTCTCATATGTCCTGTCGAATCGGGACGTGAGAGTCCTTGGAGTTGAAGATTCAACCTTTTGGAGGAAATTATACATTGTTATAAGAGGTGTTTGGATAGCATTCTGTTTCTGCTCCCTTTTTAAAAGTAGAATCAGAATCAGATTTTCAAAAGTTGGTCTCTCTCGTCTTCTAACAGTTGGAGCACGCAGAAGTTCTTCTGCAATTTTACTCAAACAACTCAATATCTGATTCTGCACTCTACAAAAATTGATGCAGTTTTAAGAAGTAGATCCAAACACTTTTTAATAAAAAAAATAAAGACACCTATTAATAAAAAATAGGAAAAATTGAAAATAATAATCCCAATTATTTCCGGTCCGCCGATAATAATCTCAACTATTGATTATTTTTGTATAATCCCAACTATATGGACCGTCCGCCAATAATGGTCCATGACCAAATATTACCTCTTATAAAAAGTGAATTTTAAATAGAAATCAAGCGTTAAAATTAAAACTTGGATTACTTATAGGGATTACTTGTTATATCTCTTCTCATCCACCTTAGAAACTACAACAATTTATTTAAATGGATCATTATTGGCGGAAGGTCCCTAAAGTTGGGATTATTCTGAATAATCGATAGTTGGGATTATTATAGACGGACCGCCAATAGTTGAGATTATAACTATAAATTTTTCCTAAAGGATGGTCTGATATGGTAATTCTTGAGTGTGGGCCCGGAGACGAAATCCCACATATGATTTGTCTAACGCGTAACACTTTCTATAATCTCTCAAGTTGACCTCCCAATGTCCCCATTCCCACTCCTCCCAATATAACACCTTCTTCCTCCTCTCTCTCTCTCCTACTCTCTCCAAAACAGCCTCTGCTCCAGAAGAAACTGAGGATCCCTTTCATTTCAATCCACCACACCTTCATTTCTTATATGAGAGTTATCAATCGAACTTCTACAAACGGAGGAGGGAATTTCCGGCTTGGTTTGTTTTTCTTTCACATCAAATTAAGCATGGGTTTCATGGAAACCATTTCTGTACCTGAAGAAGCCACGGTTTAAGATGGTGCGGAGAAAGAGAGATAAAATCTCAACTTCCTTCTGCTTTTGCAGAGTCTAATCTGATCTGTACGTGAAGTAATTAATACTTACAAGCTGATAAATTGATAATACTTTTTTCATAAGAGTTTTATCGCTGATTTTACTGGTAACTATTCGATTCTACTGATTTTACTGGTAACTATTCGCTTTTTTCATAAGAGTTTTATCGCTGATACTACTATGCTATGTGTAATTTCAGCATATCAGTGGTAGAAATGTCGAGCACCGCACATACCGATTCGAATGTGGCGAACACCGCTGCGGCGTCGGGAGCAGTTACAGCGACATTGTCCGCAGCGGATGCGGCGGATGTGGACTTCGCGAAATGCGATTGCTGCGGATTGACGGAGGAGTGCACTCTGGCCTACATAGAGAGGATCCGTGAGCGGTACCAAGGAAAATGGATCTGCGGCCTTTGCTCGGAGGCGGTGAAGGACGAGAGTATGCGGTGCGAGCGGCTGATCAGCGGCGAGGAGGCGCTGAATCGCCACCTGAATTTCTGTATGAAGTTCCGGTCGGACAGCCCGCCTCCGGACCCGACGGTGCACTTGATCGCGGCGATGCGGCGGATCCTGAGACGGAAGTTCGCGTCGATGCCGAATAGCCCGGTGAAGAGCGGCGACGGAGAGATTAGCCGGACGGCGCTCCAGAGGTCGGAGAGCTGTATAGCGACGCTATCGCTGGTGGAGGTGAATCGCAGTGTGGAAATGGAACAGAGCTGTGAATAGAAACAAGAGCCCGGAAAGGCGTAAACTGAGGAGTAGCGGAGGAGTATGATTTGACCGGCGGCGGGAGAATATAGTGTTATTTAGAAAATAACCAATTATAATAATATAATATAATATAATATAATATAATATTAATAATATGTTAAATGATGCTTATAAGGCATAACCTGCATACTTTTGGCGATTTGGATTGCTTCAGATATAAACCTTCGAAAAAAGGAAAATGTCATATATGTACAAAAAAAGGTTAACAAAGAGGGGACAAACAAATTCTGTGGACTATGGATGAAAATGTGTTACTTTCGTATAATACAGCAGTACTTATGAATATGTACTTTTTTTTGCTCTATTTCTGGAATAATCCTTTAACTAATTGAACCTATTAATAAAGGAAAAGATTTTATGGTGGTAAGTTTATTCTTTTATGGAGGAAAGTACAAAATATCCTATGCAAAAGTCGAAATATTTGGACAATTGTTTCACCTTACCATTTGGAAATTTGAGTTTTTTCGTCTATTTCTTACTATTATTATAATATGATTCGATATATGTGTATTTAGGATGTTTTCTTTTGGACTGTTTTCAGTCCCAGACCAGACCAGACTTAAACAGACCAGATCAGACCAGATCAGACCAGACCAGACTTAAACAGACCAGACCAGACCAGACTTAAACAGACCAGACCAGACTTCCGTAGTTATAAAATACACGGAGACCAGACGTTTACCAGACCAGACCAGACCAGTTCAGACCAGACCAGACCAGACCAGACATAAACAGACCAGACCAGACCAGACCAGACCAGACTTAAACAGACCAGACCAGACCAGACCAGCAAATTTCAGTCCAAAAGAAAACATCCTTAAGATGTTTTCTTTTAGACTGTTTTCAGTCTCAAACAAGACCAAATCAGACCAGACCAGATCAGATCAGACTTGACTTCCGTAGTTATAAAATACACAGAGACCAGACGTTTACCAGACCAGATCATACCAGACCAAACCATACCCGATCAGACCAGACCAAACCAGCAAATTTCAGTCCAAAAGAAAACATCCTTACTATTTTGCAAATCCAATTCGATCTAATATGTTTAAAGTATTTTTTAATCGAACTACAATTTTCTAGTCTGGTTTAGTCTAATCTAACCTGACGCGATTTGATTTGATGAATATTAGTTTGGTGTATATTTTTTGCATGATCTATTTAAGTCTGGTCTAGCTTGACATGGTTTGATCCGATTTAATTTCATTAAATCTAATTTGAGACCAAAAACAAAACTAAATAAAAACATCTCTGATATTGAATTAATAACTTGTGCGTGTTAGCTATCTTGAGTAAGCAAATGTGCCAATGCAATTGAGTGTGAATGTGCCGGGCCACTAAAGCAATTGAGTTGTTGATTTTCTGGTAAGCTTCGCATAGATGCTCTCTCAATTACAAATGTAGATCCTCTGCCATAGGGTAGAGATGCCTGGCATCAATGGACGGCTAGAAGGGAAAAGATGAAGCCTACAGATGAGTGAGAAAATATCTCTATAGGTTTAAAAAACGTTTTTAATTGAACTCAAATTTTTTAATCTAGTTAAGTCCATTTTGGTGAATGTGTTTTCTATATACATCTTACAACATTTGTCTATCACCATCTTGTCTAGACTAGCCTAATATAGTGTAGAACTGAAATCGGTCTAATTTAACACTACCTTCGTCTTGAAACGAAGTTTCCCATTTCCTTTCCGGAATGTCCCAAAATAAAGTCTTCACTTCAACTTTTTTTTTTTATATATTTGGTAAGTTTCCATTATTCATTACCCTCTTTAATATTCATTTGGGTACTACACATTTTAATTATCCAAAGACATTTTTGAAAAACCAACTTTATTTTCTATTCTACTTAAAAATCCATAAAGTCAAACTAACTACATTTCGACGTAGGAAGTATTAGGTAAGAAGTAACATTCTCAATTTGTAATCATTGATTATTAATTATTACGGAGTATTATTTTTATTATCCCAGGGTCCATATTGAGTATTGACCAAATGACCAGCACTCTACATGGCTTTGGGATGCCTCAATGGCTCGATTACCTATTTGGCTACCAGCTGCCTTGTCATGTAGTTGCCTATACTTGATATTTAATGTCAATCCATAGATGACCCTTTCATCGGCTAGGTGTAATATCGTTTTCATCACCTTACTCGTCTCTTAATGCAAGCTCACTCGTCTATTTAGAGAGGAGATCAACTATATCTTCTATGAATAAAGTCGAAATTCTTGCAATTATACATAAAAGTCGAATTGTTGAGAAAGAATTTCACAAAATTTTGAGCCACTGTGTATAATGTGGGTCGATGGTTATAGTGAATATAGTATACGCATAATTTCTTGTGAAAACTCATAAGGTTTACTGCATTTTACTCATTATTACATTCATGACACAAAAGTGAAAGATAGTAAATAAAAAGTAGAAGAAATAGTAAATGTCAACAGTCAAGGAAAGTATGTTGTACTATGATGTCCCCTGAGACAAGGGACTAAAGAAGAGTCTCATCAGACGGGTAAATCTTTTCTTATCAACTTTTAGCAAAGGGCACTTTCAAGATTTGATTTGTTGCTAATTATTTAAGAGAGATAGTATTTCAATATGAATAGTGCATAATGAACTTTTAGCAAAGGGAGCTTTCAAGATTCGATTTGTTGCTAATTTTTTAAAAGAGATAGTATTTCAATATGAATAGTGCATAATGAACTTTTAGCAAAGGGCGCTTTCAAGATTCGATTTGTTGCTAATTTTTTAAGAGAGATAGTATTTCAATATGAATAGTGCATAATGTGAAGACCGAATGTGATAAAGTTTTGTGTCATGTTTTGTGATCTCACACAAACGTGTTACAAGTATATTTAGAGCATAAAAATAAAAATGAACTAAAAATGCATGGAACCTAAGTGAAAGAATTTTAAATATTACTCCGCAGATCTTTAGTATAAAGAGACCAAAATAAAATGGACCAAGGTGATGGCTTGGAGATGCTTAAGGTAACATTCACATTTTCATGCAAGAGGGATAAAAAGCCTAGTTGACCTGAAGTGATACAAGAGTTGGCCATAACGTGAGCCATTGCATAAATGTGAAAAAAAAGGATGCATCCATCTCTAAGGCTTTGTTTTGTTGGAGGAATTTGAAGGGAAGAATTAAAGAAGAAAGTGTATGGTATATGTGTATTTGATTGGAGGAAGTAAGAAATAATGGTAGAAAGGTTTAATGACTTCCATAATCCTTCATTTTCTTCAATTTTAAATCTCCCAAATTCGGGTATTTTGGATGAGAGTTTTCCCAAAGTCCTTCCCTCTTCATCCTCCCTTCCCCTCATCGCCTCTTCTCTTCCTTTCCCTACTTTGAACCAAACAAAGATAAGAGTTCAAGAACTTTTGTAATGGAAAGATTGAATTGAGTTATAATCCCAATTTGAACAATACAAAGTGGATATCCCTTTGCTTGGTAGGTATAGAAAGTGTACAAATGCCAAGCAAAGTATGGAAATGTACACCTCAGCATGTTCAACAATCTCATCTGGTTTCTCCAAATATTGACATGCTCTTTGTACTCCTCCACACATAGCTTGTAGCCTCACGTACTCCATACCTAAACTTCAATCATTATATTTCGTCTCTAGCATAGCTACTCAATAACGCCACGCCCCTTGTCGATCCGGCCTCAATTAAGCCATTGCCTCCATCTCCTGCCGATTATCCCCCAAGTATTCCTTCAAATATCTACCCTCGGGGCAGCAATTGATTCTATTGTCTATATATCATCAAACTCACATTGTTGTGTTTTACAAAGTTTTGTGGAAAAAATCTTGTAATCTTAAATAATTCAATAGCGACATCACATGCATTAACATAGAGCCATTGGTAACATTGAAATTGGCTGAATCAGCTAATTTTGCTTAAATGTATGAAGTTATGACTGAAATGGCTGGGTTGGTTGATTCTGTTGAATTATGAAAAATTATATTTAAAATGTATTTTATTAATAAAATAAAGAAAGAAATATGAAAAATAGTTAAAATGGTTCTCTATAGTAACTTCGGTCAATCCAGTCAAAAAAATAACTTCAACCTCACTTATTTTGATTATTACACAACTCAGAGTTCGAAATCAAAAGTTACGTGTTTGGTGAAGAAGTTGACTTATAATGCTAATAAGTCGAAAAACATGTCACCATAGAGGCTCATATTCTCTTTATCATACTTGGCCTCCATTTCAATCCAAAAAGTGAAATCACCAAGTACCTCAAACCTCGATCCGATAGAATGGTGAAAAAATAAATCATGATATGACAACATATTGGGAAATTCCAGGAATACGACTAAAAAAGTTTGAGAATTCCAAAATAGGATTGTCATGTTTTTATTTCCTAAATATGAGTAATTACTGACCAGTGTGAAAATTACTATCATGATTAAAGTTTGGTACTATCAAAATATGACAATAAGTAGTTCTTTTGAGAGAATAAAAATATAATAGTCCTGTTTTGGAATAGACAACGTATATAATAGAAATTATATACAAATTTAATAATTGAAATCATTATCCAAAATTTATCATTATTGACTAAAAAATGTCAATATGACAAACCTTTTTTAGATGGGGGTACAAGGCGTAGCTAGGGGGCGACTTAGGCCCCGGTCCACCTCAAATTTTAAAATGCCTTTTTTCAATGCAAAATTTTTTGGGTATGTATATTTTCAAAATACTTTTTGTACATGTCCATTGCGATCCAGTTTCCTGGCTCCATCCGTGTCGAGGAAGTAACATCTTAAAATTTTCTCTTCAAAGAGATAATGGGACTCTTTATCTTGGTGAATTGACATTTTAATAAAACAACAAATTATCATTAGTAGGTCCCCATAAAAATCAAATCAAATTCGATTATGAAAAAGTTATTGCTACATCTAGACCGGTCATTGCGGCAGAGAACTAGGGAGATTGTGAACCTTGTGGCAACTTGAGTCGTTCTTCCTCTAAATAAATGTCTCACATAATTTTCTCCTATGTGTGATTTTAGTATTGTTATCCTTGAAATAGAAAGAAAACGCTATTATTTTTCTAATCGGAATGAAATATGAAATATATTTTATGGTCTAATAGACTAATCTTATCTGTTTCAGTATAATTAGATTTATATTTGTTTTAAGTGTATTTACTACTTCTTCTATCTCACTTAGATTTTCTTATCTTTTCTTTTACTTCATCCCATTAATTAAGATTACCTTACATCAAATTTAGAAAAATTTGTGTAGAGTTAAATCATTCTTATATTATCATTTATCAATAATTGCATCACCTTATTGTGTCCCAATGTTATTATGATGGAACTCATGGAAGTAGTATTATCTAAATCTGATTTGATCTGATATTATATGATCTAATCTGATACTAAAATCAATCAAGTTAAAACCATCCTAAGAATATTTGTCTTTTAGGTCTGGTTAAGTGTTGTGTATGTATTTTTTGTTTTCAATTTTTTGAAGCTACAAAAATATTAAGAAAATCAGAAAGTTTGTATCCAGCTGGCAGCTTTCTTTATGATCGGTTGAATTCAAAATATACATGCTTACTATATACTCCGTATAAGATTATTTTTGTTTATATCGACAAAAGCAAAGATTATTTTTGTTTATCATAAAACATACTACGTATATCATCCACATTTTTTAGATCATAAACCAAGAAATTTAACACTAACATTGATACCGAGGTATCGAACTAGTCTTTATGTATCATAGAAAATGAAAAGGGGGAGTTTTACTAATTTGTTTAAGATGAAACAGTGATATGCTGTCAAAAAAAATGAAACAGTGATAGGAATACTACACAAAAAATATTTTTGGTGGCAAAATTACGATAATAACTTAAATGAAAATAATAGTAGGAAGAGCTGCCAAATAAATTGGGTGCTTTTTATAGTTGAGGAGTTTAATCGAGTGATTTGATTGCACGAGTATTCTATTGACTTTCTTACAAATAGTACAAAAAACTTATTTGACAATTTTCTCAAAATAATATTCATAACAAACTTTTTTAAAGCGAAAAGCGTCCAAAAGCAATGACCCCGGGCTTTGCTTCAAAGCGAAAGCGCTAATCAAAGCGAAGCTTTCTCACAAAAAGCGATGCTTAAAAAAATTAAAGAAAATATAATATATAATGTATACGTATGTAAAAAATGCATATGTAGTGCATAAACAAGTGTAAATATTCATATATTATTAATTTAAAACATATTCTCTATCCCTTTTTAGCAAGAAGGTATTGTAATTAACTATCTTAACTCAGTTAACTGGCTTAAGCCAAAGTAAATAACAGTACTTATCCCTTAAGCAATAAGGTCACACACATGGCAGAACATTGAGTATTTTTACAGGGGAAGATGATCAGAACAATGAACTGTAATGAACTAATAATAACAAATAGCAGACTAAAAGAAAATTTCATGTAAACTGCAAATAGTTAACATCACACACATGGCAGAACTAATAACTATTAACATGGCAAATAGTTAACAACATCACAAACAAATTTCTTGTAAACTGCAAATCGTTAACCACATCACAGTATGACACACACTTGTAAACTGGAATTGGGTCAACTGGTCAAGTGTGTCTGCTATTTACAGTTTACAAGACAGCTCCAGAATCCTTAAAAAAACCAGCTCCAGAATCGGCAGAAAGGGGAAGAAGATTAGAAGAACGAAATAATGACTAATAGGCTAATTGCAGACTTAGCGATATACCTCAGCAGATCGACAGAAAGGAAAAGTGTAGCAGTTGGAAGAAGAAAGGAGAATAACTCAGGTCCTCTGTCCTCAGCGGCTCAGCAGATTGGCGACGTCTCCTGATTGTCGCAGCTCTGAAGAAGAAGACCTGGAGTCCTCGAACGATGGGATGGAGATTCGAACGAATGGCAAGTATCGTAACCCTAGGTAAACCGTATACTAAAACTAAAAGCAAAAACTTACCGGCTCTGACCGTCGCTTTTTGTGAGAAGCGCTGAAAATCGCTCGCTTTTTGCGCACCGACGCTTCTTGGAAAGGCGGAAGAAAGCGAAGCTTTCTCACAGGCTCTCGCTTCTGTAAAGCTTAGCGCTAAGTCATCGCTTGCTTACGCTTCTCGCTTTTTGGCGCTTTTTCTTGCTTTTAATAAGTTTGATTCATAACTTGTTGAAATAGAATTTTTCAAAGATTTTTCTTTTGGCACAAAACTCTTTTCTTTATCTAGGTGGTCGCGGGAGGGGCTAGGGGGTCTAGGATAAGCTGGGCTCAAACTCACTCCATTGACTCAGTGACCAATTGAACTGGACCATTTTCTCCCATATGGGAGAGTGAGTTGGCACAAAATTCTGGTACAAATATTTTTATATTTTCCACAATAGCGTTATGTTTTTTTTATTTATACAAGTATATCAGTATAACTTGCTCTTCTTCGAGAAGCGGTCCAGTCCAGCTGGTTGCCGACTCACTCTCTCTTATGGGAGGTCCCGGATTCAATTCTTAATAGAGTGAGATTGATCCCAGTTTACCCCAGACCCCCCAAACCCCCTCCCCTGGGGTTAAAAAAACAATAAAAAAAACAAAACTTGCTCTTCTTCAAAATGGGGAGAAACACTATTTTTTTTGTATTAGCATTAAGGTGATTAGGTTCATCAAGACATCAAGTGTGGCACCCAGAAGATGGCATGTTGCATATAAACTTCTATGGGGGTGTTTGGATCTGATTCTCAAAATTGATTCTGCTCCTTCAGGGAGCAGAAGCAGAAACTGGAGTGTTTGGGTGAAATTCCAGAAGCACTTCTGGTGCTCTAATTTACTCTCAGAATTAGTTTTTTTAGAAGCTGGTAGGTACCAGCTTCTGAAAACTGATTCTGATTCTGCTTTAAAAAAGAAGCAGAAGCAGAATCAGTTCCAAACACCCCCTATATTTGGAATTGGAAAATAATCCACAAACTTGAGAAAGGTTTATTCACTTGATTGTAATAATTCAGAAGACTCATGTTCAAATGTCTGCAAGAAGAGTAGGGCGCTCACAAGGCATTAATGGAATATTGTCCATTCATAAATAAGGGTAAAAAATCTACTCAAGTAAATTTAAAAATTTGCTTTGAAATAGCAGCCACCTTAAATTTCATGACATAAAGAACTGGGCCAAACAACTCTTCCTTCACGACGTCTGTAGTTGAAGATATTTCTACTATTGTTGCCTGCACAAAGTTTCCTTTAGATTGTATAACTGAGCCGCCTGCAAGGATCTTGCCTCCCTGAAAATTGCCAATAAATAAAATTGTGATGGAAAATAAGAGTAAAAAAGAGTTTACAAGAACTCAATTGCTACTGGACTGTTCTGTCTTCAGATGTGATATGGGATTTTCCAAGACAATATCATTACGTGTTCCACAAAAGAACAAAAGCAAAGGTAGATGGCCTTGAACATGGATATGCAGCTTTTCCCCATGCCCTTAAGTGTGTGTGTGTGTGTTTGTAAGTGTGTATTATACGGGTACTAGTGTGCGCGTGTCTCGGCGTCCCCAAACATACTCTCGTTGAAAGAAACAAATAAACAATTAGTTTAAATTGTGCAATTCCAATTCTAAGAAAATACTACATCTTTACGATATTCTTGGTGTCAAAGTGTTGGAAGAACTCTTTCTTAAGATGGTCCATTCCTTCTGTATCATCTCCTGTTATAATAATGGCATCGACATAAACAATGAGTGAATGAGGTAGATGAAAGGTCTATAGAATAGATTTTGCTATGAACATGCCAAAC